CTAGCCAGCGGAAAGCCGCATTGACCGCCTCCACCTCCATTCTTAAGCTGAATGTTGTGGTATCATATGCTAGGCTCTCCTGCACCAAACGTCGACCATTAACTTTTGCTAAGAAACCCCAAGCACTTCTTTTGCCTCTTGACACTGAACCGTCTGTGTAAATGATCAAATCTTCTGAGCGAGCATTATCTTGAATTAATTGCTGAATTTCCACCTCTGTAGCACCTGCTGGCCAGTCTCTGCATTCCCGGCTCAGTGTGATTATGACCCTACACAAGTCTGACTGTTCAGGTGGCACTCTGACCCACTCCTCTCCTCGCCTAATGTTCTCAATGATGCAAACCTGTCTAATTGTGTCTTCTGCCCGAGCCATCCATGACTTCCCTCTTGTCAGCCGCTGACCCTTAATTGCACCCAAAGCTTCGTGCAAAGGGTGATCTGTGTCGGTAGCTACCCTAAGATATGACTTCACCTGCAGCACCTTGGGCCTATCTGCAACAGTCGGCAAATCAAGGATGCATCGCATACACACCACTTGGGTGTCTCTAGTGCAACCCAGAATTACCCGCATTGCTGTGTTCTGTATGCGCTCTAGTTTGTCTATCTGTCTCTTTGAGGCGGTAAGCATTCCCAGACCATAATCAACTACTGACAGGATCAGGTGCTGATATAGTGTGAAAAGCATTCTCTGCTCTATGTCAATTGCAACCGTAGTCTTACCAAGTCCTTTTTGGAATCTTGTCACAACACTCGCCACATGGTCCTTAAAGGACAGGCTCCTGTCAAATGTAATTGCCAGATACTTCAGTTTGTCTGTGTCTCTATCTCTCTCTCTCTCTCTCTGTGTTGATGTTTCTACCATCTATCGTGAGACTTGGGACATTAGCTTTAACGATCCTGTTGTCCAGAGAACACCACAAAACATACCCCATTTCCGGGTGGACGACAGCGCTCATTTCTGTACACCACTTTGTCCACTGTCGCTTGTAGCTCTCGGGCTGTTTGTTCCCTCTCTTCCCCTGCCTATACGCAAGTATATCATCCGCAAAAGTCAGTATCCTTCCAACTCCTGGTGCTTCTAGGCTTGCAATCTTGCTCGTATACACGTTAAAGAGCACAGGCGAGATAGCAGATCCCCGTGGCAGTCTTGGGGCCAAACTGTATGGTGTAAGTGTGTGAAACAAACAGGAACAGATATAGCTGGTAAAACGCTTCTTCACATAAAAATGTTACTTTAATGCAATGCGCAATTCAGATATGATCTTAACATGACTGTTAAACATTAGGGGCGCCATGGCAAGCCAATGGAAATAAGAGCAGTGAGTGGTCCTTTCTAACTGGGTAGCATAGGTCCAGAGTAATCGCTTGGCCTCTTTGCGAGAAAACAAAATCGCCACTTTCTACCTGCATCTCAGAAGGGGGAGAGCTTTAGGTTATAATTGTGACTAGGTACGCCATAAAAAAAATTGCTTAGCATTGTTCGCCACCAAGTCGCCATGAAAAGGACTCTTGCATTGTGATGTGATCAACAGAGACCGACCCAAATACCGTCCCGACCGGCGACGATGTCGTTTACCGGCGAGCAAATGGGTGACCCGATCGCCAATGTGCCCAGAATAATCAAAACGGTTTGAGGGGGGGGGGGGTAGGGGGGGCTGTATCAGACAATTTCCCGGCGTTTTCTGGTAGCTGCCTGTGAATAAAAGGCGAAAGGGCGAGGAGTGGTAACTACACTTAATGTCGTGGCATTGAATTTTCGAAGGAAAACCATCCACACATACCATAAAGGCAGTGTTAACTTTGAAATTACTACTAGGCTTTTTTTTTCTTCTCTTCTTCAAATGACCCAGACTTTCAGTTATGAAACTGGTACCAGGAAATATCTTTTATACTGCAGACCTCGCTGTGTTTACCACACGACCCGTTGATCGCCACACTGAAGAGTGAAGCTATCGGGCTAGCACCAAAATGAAATACTAACCTGCACAGTCTATTGAAGTTGAACTAGCCATGCGGCCCAGAATCCACAAGCGCAAATACCCCCCCCCCCCCTCTCCAACTTCTTTAAACACCACAAAGGTGGTAAATACAAGCAATACTGACCGGGTTTTTATTTTTAACACTGTAAATCAAATACACCTCAACAAGAGTACATACTCTATATACCAACAGTGGCAGTTCTGCGTGAGCCTGTATTAGCTCGCATGTGGCATCTGTACCCACATCAGGTCCTTGGTTTTGGTGAACGTTAGATAAAGATGGTGAGCCATGGCCGGCGACACTTCATCTTTACGGTACATGATTGTGACCAGATTATATACCCACGGCCTCTTTAACGATAAAAGTACCCAGTTTCACTAATGAGTTGACTAATTCTTTTTGTTTTTTTTAATGGTGACATCTCCACAGAAAAATCTAACTAACGTGCATCCACTGTCGCCTTTGGGAATATCCCGTAGAGAGGTGTCAACCAGTGTTGCCACTTTTCTTTGACAAAAAATATCCAAAACGGTGTCAAAAAATATCTAAAAAGATTTAAATCTGCGTGGAAAAGATTTAGAAAAAACATCCAAATTGAAAAAGTCAAAAATTACATAGCTTTTGTTATGACTTACCCTACATAATTATGTCCTCACCTTCACTGATGTCTGCCTCACAAGATCCACAGGATAAACTTAGCTTGGATAATGAAGTTGAAGCTTCAGATCCAAAATGACCCTGGTAGCTTTAGCTGTTCAAATGTCTTTATAAGTGGTACAATAGGCTTATTTCTCTAGTCTCATCAGGCCGAATTTTAATGGCACGATAGCATTCAAGAGGTCAAATTACATCCTGTTTTTTAGGTTAGATTTGATATAATTCCTAGCACTGAAAACTCTTTTTACGTCAGCATTTGAGTGGGGTAGTATCCTTGGCAGACATGGCACTTTAAAGAGCTTACAGAATGGACTGTTTGATGAGGCATCTTTAAATTGTCTCACTTCACTCCAAAACGCTTTAGTTTCTGTTTTGTTTGTCCATTCAGCTAACTTTATTTTGCTTAACTGATATTCTGCTTCCGCGACACTATTATCAGTAGCCACTAAAAATTTCATAACTTTACAATATTTAGGTAGGTCCTTTATTGGCTGAAGTATGTTGCTCACAGAAAAAAGTAAAATATTTTTCAATACACCTAGATTTTCAGGAAGTCTCTGCTTCAATTGCTTCAATAATGAGATAATGAAATCTTGAGAGCGTTTTCTTAAGTTGTTCTTTTCATTCTCTGTTAACAGTCCTTTTGTTTTTAAATCATCAATTTTTGATTCGATTTAATATCCAAGGTGTGGCTTAGGAGCCAAATAGCTCTCTATAGTGCAAGTGAGCAAATCAGCTTTAGAAGTTGGCAACACCAGTCTTTTACCGAGTGAAATAGCAAGATGAGATCATCAAGTAATTTAACTTTATCAACAAGTTTAGATTTGAACAGTTTATTAAATTTTTGCACTTCCATTAGAATAGGTTATAAAAAGAGAATGAATAACACATTTTTTTTTCATCACTGTACATTCCACACATTTCAGCTGTGTAGCACTTTTCACTTTGTCTTGTTATTTCAAAGTGTTTCTTCAACTTCAGCCATTGCTTCATAATTCTTTCAACAGCTGGTTTAATTGATAACCATCTAGTTTTGCAATCTGACAGAATTTTCGGTGGTGTGGAACCATCATTCAAGGTTGTATATAATGTATTGTATTGCTGTTGTCTGACAAATGATTTGGAAAACCAGTAAAGTGTTTTAGCAATAAGGCATTCTAAATTCCTTGGTAAATATTTAGATGAAGCATGTGATAATGCTAGCTGCAATGAATGACGCATACATTTTATAAGTATTAACGATGGGTTAGCTTCCTTCAACTTGACATTAACGCCATTGTTTATACCAACCATCACTGAGGCATTATCAGTACCAATTACAGCTAAATTCTTCAAGCCTAACTGTTTGCTGATTAAAAGGTCCTTCAGTTCCTTAACTATACTTTCTTCATCACACTTTTCAAATTGAACTAGTCCAAGATTTTTTACAAATCGATCAAATGGTCACAGTTTGAAATTGCGTAGTGACAAATTAATAACATTGCGACTGATACTTCAACTTTTGATGATTCATTTATCAGTATAGTTCTTAAAACAGATGTCAGCGGTGTAATATTTTTAAATGAAACTGCAGTTTTATGCTTTTTTAGTCTCTGCATGACTCTTTGAGTTTTGTATTTTCGCTTTAATTTCACACTTGCAGTTCTTACAACAAGCTTTGGTCATATCCGCAGTTTTTAATTTTGTCATCATGCAACCACTCTTTCCAAATTTTTTGCTCATACTTTACTTTTGGCATGTTGAAAGGTTTTTTTCAAAGTTAAAGCCACATAAGAAGGTGAGTAATTTTTTTTTTTTAAATCACATGAAAAGAAACGCAAAGTCAGCACAGTGAGGAAACGGTTGAAACAAAGTTAGTATGATTTAGGCGCGTTTTTATTAATCAGTACTGGAGCTGCCAGATATTTGTGCGTTGACCCCAGTGAGAATTCAAAGTTCAGGTAATGGCAGTTGTCACAATGTACGTGCCAGACCAAAACAAAAATATTGTAGCAAATATTTTACACAGTAATTATTAAATTGACAATGAAAGAAAATCTATAAAATATCTAACTCCAAATGCAAAGAATCTAGAAAAGTATTTACGATCTAAACGTCAAAAACAGTATCTAAATGCAATGAAAAAGATCTAAATTTGGATATAAAAGATCCAAAGTGGCAACACTGGTGTCAACCTTTTCTACGCTGCCGCTCTTGTACCACTGTGCGATAGCCACGAGAACGGTCCTGGTGCTAAACAATCCGCTGCGGAAGCGAGGGTGATGAAACGCAGACATTAACCTCCCGCCAGAGAGACGCATGACTCATACTAACGATCGACATAAAACACAAATATCATGCCGAATATATGATCGGGTACTTACCAAAGCAGGCCACTGGCCTTCTGAAGAGCCGTCCTTGTCTGTTCTTTGCACCCAGGACAAGGTGTGTTCTACAAGAAATACCAGGAAAGCATCATGAACCTTGATATATTCCCGGGACTTCCAGCCCGTGTCGTCAAACTCCACCAGGACCTGAGATAAAAGGATATAACAACATGACAGACCAGCGATAGTTTCAGCAGAACGTACACAATAAACACACACACACACGCACACACACAAATTACAACATGCGGAACACCGACATTATGCTCGCATAATCTGCACATCCTTTGTATCAAAACAATATTCTGTTTTCATATATGTACTGCTGAAAAGCACCCTGAGTGTCATAATGTATACACGTATTGTACCAGCGCCAGATGCGATCAGGGCAGGCACATTAAACTGCTTTATTCCTCACCGTGAACGACAAAGCAATCTATAGAATAGCAACAATGCAGGCTAGGGTAACGATGTGAGAAGATCGCTATCTTCCACGGTTAACAGTGGCTGTGTCTACAGCTAACATACACATACACCCCCAGGCCAGAGGTGCGTAAAAATTACCACCTGTGGTATAGTTCGTAAAGTGATTTTATTTTTTATGTATTATGGTAGATGGGCTGCAAATTATCATTACCACAAGCTGTCATAATTAGCCTAAACGCTCTAGTGAGAAAAATGTGTTCAACGTTGCCATTTGGAACATGTCAGTGAAGTTTCTACTCCAATATTGAGGATAGACAGGGATGTCTGTTTAGTCTTGACGTTATTTTTGTTTCTGGCAGCGGTTTGCTAGCACAGTTTCCCCAAATGGGCTGGAATTCCAGGTTTTCACTATCTAAGCCACTGAGTGAAGTGCTTGGCGTAGGACTGTCAGCTGTGTATTCTATGTGGTATGCCCGCTGTCAGCGGTTGTCGCGTGATATTTTTTTTTAAATAAGTAGCTGGGTGGTTTGCGTTTTGGATGGCGAAATACCTAATGCAATGCGTGTTTAATATTGCGTGCTTACGGTCAGCCTATAACATGGATGCGCACAAACTATACACCTTTCACAACATATGTCTACGTGGAATTATCAAAATGTTCCGGCCAGATACAATCTCAAACACTAAACTACTTCACGTTACAAACCAGGAAACTATAGACAGTATGATAACCAAGGGAAGATGGAAATGGCTTGGTCACGTTATGAGAAAGAATCCCAATATACTGTACCTGCCAAAATAGCTCTCACATGGACACCAGAGGGAAAGAGAAAGAAGGGGCGGCCAAAAACAAAATGGAGACGAACGATGAAAAGTGACCTGAGTGCGGCATCTCTGACATGGAAAACTGTACTGAAGACTGCACAGGACAGGAAAGCATGAAACGTCCTCTCTGAAGCCTCGTGTGCCACTAGGAATAAAGAGAACTAATGATGATGATGATGGTCAGCCTACCAGATCTGTACAACGGATGTGCACGCAACACTTAAGTTCTGGAACAAGACTAAACTCCAGAAGCAGACGAACTGCCAGAACTTTCCGTGTGTGTTTACAGCCGGTCAAGGCGAAGAAGCCTACTACTGCCACTATTTCTAACTACTACTACTGCCACTATTACTGCTACTTCTACTACAACTACTACTATTGCTACAACTACTACTGCTACTTCTACTGCTACTACTACTGCTGCTGCTACTACTATTTATAAGAAACGTTAAGGCAAAATGTAATTTCAGGTCCGCTGGCCCATCGGTTCACACTAGTGTCGTACAGGATTTGTAGTGCTAAATCTATATTTGTACAGACCTGTCAGTGCATGATACAGTCACCATCATCTCGGCGCATTTACCTCCCAGCTCCTTTTCTGATACCAGCGTTAGACGGAGACGGACCCGGGAGTCTAGATAATATTTTAAAAAATCAGCCTCAATGCGGATTCGAACCTAAAATATTCGTGACGACGGATATTGCTTCACTACAGCCACCACGCAAGGACGAAATTCAACAGCTTTTCCCTACGTCGCGATTTTGTTAATGGACATGTCAAATGAAATCGCACACCTTTGTTCAAGAAATGTTAACTAATGCTGATGAGATCTTTCCATGAGACAGACCATCTATTACCTTTTCGCAAAGGCGTCCTATTTCTCGCTGGCTCGCCACCACGCCACAATGAATGCATTGTTCTCCGAGGGATATTGATCGCTTTCTGTCGATAACTGTCAAAAACTCCCAATTATGTCTTGGCTTTGTTTAGGAAATATTCACTGCTCATTTTACCCGCTGCGAAACTGAATAGTTCACATTTTTTTTCCTGTAAAAAGTTATTGCTTGACCTCTGTGAACTAACTCTGAATAATCAAATAGTCATACTCCGCTACCTCAAGGTTATGTGTGATTAACTTATTCCAATGGCTCGTGGGACTTACAAGGCCGAGATAACAGATGCTCGATAGTCCGATAGCGTAGTTGTGACGAGCTGGTCTGGACAGCTGTTTCTGTCCTTTTAAAGATTGCTTTGTTTAGATAATATTATTATCAAAGTTCTAAACATTTTCCTATTGCTTTTAATTAGCATAATAACACTGGATTAATTAAGAAATTTCCTTAACTTTTTCGTAATGCTTTATTGTAGCAAAATTATAATTAAAGAGTTGAAAGGTAATATAGGCGAAGAGTAGTGCAAGGGGGACTGAAGAGTTACTTCCTCCTGACTTCCTGTTCCCTTTGCAATTCAGAAATTGACCGGTTCAGACTAAAGTTTCAGTCCGCCTGTGGTCAAATTTTCTGTTTGAATTCCCTGCCAGGGTTCCAGATTGTATTCCAGATGGTAGTCCAGAAGTAGATCCTAAGCTTAGCTGCAGATACCCGATTGTCCGGACTGGACTGGAAGATTCGGCCTGCCTGATGTGTTTCCGAAGCTTAGTCAGAAGCTGACAACATAAACCTAAGCTACAGCTAAGTGGACAGTTGACCACTTACCTTATATAACAGGATAATTTTATCCACAGCCTTTTATTTAATTACCATTTGAATTTTCAAAATAAATGTAGTTTTAATGTTCTTACAGTTTTCTGAAGTTTCATTTTAACTGTAATTGTGTCAGTGAACAAAGGCTAGTATAACTTTAATACATTTAAATATTCAAATTTAATAACAGTAGGGAATAGATGTGGGCAAACCCAGAATCCTCTCATTTAACCAGCAAGGCTGGGGTTACTATAAGACCGTATAATGTTTCACTGTTTGTAGTTCCCTCTGTAAAGTGCACATAGTGCATTCGCTAGTGTAAAGCGAAGTTACCCGCCACAGATTGGGGATCTCGTCCCGGCATAGAACCCACTCACAAAGTGGGATTCTCGTCTCGGAACTTATCACATCACTCACAAAGTGGAGATCTTGTCTCATGGTTTGTAACCTCACACACAAAGTGAGATATTGTTCCTGGTTTTTCCCTAGACAACAGCATATTTTTTTTATATTTTGTGTTCAAGTGTTTAGCCATCTTTGATTTATTTTATGGCATATACTTAAAGAACACTGGGGGCTCAGAGTCATTAATTACTAGTTTGCCTGTTAAAGTTAGCAAAAATTAACTTAGGTAATTATGTAACTGAAATTTACAAATAGTTTAAATGTTCACTGACTTTAGGAAATCAAAATATATAATTGGCTAGGACAATTTTAATCCCAAAAATAATGGTTGCCCATAAGGTTAAGGATTTGTTAAAATGGATTGACAATTGCATTGCTATTTTTTTGATTCTGTGATTGATTATTGGATTGATGCATATGTGATTTGCTTACTAACCCACTGTTGACCTAATTTTCTGAGTCTTGTCTAGTACTCTATAATTTCAGCAGCAATCATAGGTGATAATTTGCAAACTTCTTGTAAGGGTCACTACAGCTTAACCGAGATGGCAGCAAATAATTATCTATTGGGCAAGACCATCTCAGACTTTGCTGCTCATGAGGCAGGTTTGAGTGGGATTGAGCTAGATATGTATGTCTCTGATTTGTTGAATGCCAAATCTCAACTAGAAGCTAATGTAGGTGTCCAAGGGAGGGAAGTAGATTCTATAGATTGGTTTTTTAGAAGTATAGAAATGGGCCAGGCTTGCAAATTCACAGGTATTAAACTGCTAGAGTGTGTTGCAGAGAAGGTCAAGGAAGATTGGGAGTGGCAACTGGAGTGTGTCCAGATGGAACAACATGCACAAACTAGAGGTTTTAAAGAGGCGGTTGAACATGCTCAGTGGAACCAGAAAGCCTTTGCTGGCGAGCCTTCCCGAGAATTATGGATGTTCACAACCCCAAAGCCAGACACTTCCATGTCAGTCAAAAATGCCTTGCCAAATACTAGTATCAGTCACTTAGGATCAGTAATTGAAGAAAGAACCCTTACCCCACCAGAATCTGGAAATGAAAACCCTGGTAGAGAATGTGAGATCCTTGGCAGCTGTCAAGAGATCATAGCTAGTGAGCCTGCGGCTGCAGTGACCACTAGTGGGCTAGCTACCACAAAACTTGAGTTAACTCAGGGTGGTGATTTCTGTCAAGATGGTCATTCCTTGGCAGAAATAAAAAGTGTTATTCCCAAAACCAACCCCATTTTAGATAATATTATTTTATCTAGAAGCTTGCACAGCAAGGAAACTTTGAAGAAGGTAGGTGGCGAGACAGAAGACTTCAGCTCCACGCTGCAGATAGTATCTTGTAAAGCGGAGTCTGTTTATGTCCATGCTCCCACTACTTATTCTCACACGCAGTCAGTAGAAAGTCATGTGCTAGTTAAAGACATAGATTTTTCCAGTAAGTCGAGTGATATCCTAGAAGTTACTGAGAGAAGTAAAAATGCATCTCAGTCTTGCTTACAAGTTAGGGAAAAAGAGTCTCAGGCCTTAGATAAGTCCTTGAGGTCTCAAGGTATGTTGTTGTGTCCCCTCAGAATCAAGGGCCAGCACAACTTTGACTACCGAGAAAATGAGTCTCATGCTTTTGAAAAGCCACTGAGATCTCAGGGTATGTTGTTGTGTCCCCTCAGAATCAAGGGCCAGCACAACTTTGACTACCAAGAAAATGAGTCTCATGCTTCTGATAAGCCACTGAGATCTCAGGGTATGTTGTTGTGTCCCCTCAGAATCAAGGGCCAGCACAAC